CACATGTGTATTAGAGGTGGCTACGGGTTTAGCCAACCTCACCTACGGTTCTACAGGTCGCCAGAATGTGATTACTGTACCTCGTTGCACGGGTGATGCGTCCACGACTTGATCACAAGTTGCTCATTGTTGCTAGACTACTCGGCTGTATCTAAGCTGTTGTTTACGTGTATACTTAGTGATTGTGGTTAAATGAAATGCCATATCTTAGTCAATTTGTAGGCAAGTCATGACTTTGTTTCAGTTGTGGATCATCAATGTTGTCCAATAGGGCCTATTATACAATACAACGTTGTTTCAGTTGTGTATCACCAATGTTGTAAAATGGGGCCTATTAACAGTACAACTTTGTTTCAGTTGTGTATCAGCAATGTGTCAAATAGGGCCTATTATACAGTACAACGTTGTTCCAGTTGTGTATCAACAACGTTGTCAAATGGGGCCTATTACACAAAAGAACTTTGTTTCAGTTGTGTATCACCAATGTTGTCAAATTAGGCCTATTATACAGTACAACGTTGTTTCAGTTGTGTATCACCAATGTTGTCAAATGGGACCTATTATACAGTACAACGTTGTTTCAGTTGTGTTTCACCAATGTTGTCAAATGGGGCCTATTATACAGTACAACTTTGTTTCAGTTGTGTATCACCAATGTGTCAAATGGGGCCTATTTCACAGTACAACTTTGTTTCAGTTGTGTATCACCAATGTTGTCAAATGGGACCTATTATACAGTACAACGTTGTTTCAGTTGTGTTTCACCAATGTTGTCAAATGGGGCCTATTATACAGTACAACTTTGTTTCAGTTGTGTATCACCAATGTGTCAAATGGGGCCTATTTCACAGTACAACTTTGTTTCAGTTGTGTATCACCAATGTTGTCAAATGGGACCTATTATACAGTACAAGGTTGTTTCAGTTGTGCATCACCAATGTTGTCGAATGGGGCCTATTATACAGTAAAACTTTGTTTCAGTTGTGTATCACCAATGTGTCAAATGGGGCATATTATACAGAACAACTTTGTTCGATAGTTAAATGCTTTGTGTGCAATTGAACTTATATACCAACCTGGTACAGGTTTGCATATTAACCCATTGGCGCCGACTTACGAGCGTTACTCGTACGGCCGCTGCAGGCCCGGAGGCCGACTTACGAGAGCCGCTCGTGTCACCGCTAGGCAGCGCCATTTTTTATTTAGTTATTATTATTTTTCGCCCTTTTTGTTTCTTCTTACTATTATAATGTTTATAAATATCTTGCTTCTTGATTTGCGTATTTACTCATTTATTTTAGCGAATAACAAACAATTTTATGTTGCCATGGAAACCACATATCACCAAAAATCAGCTGCGGTAAGGTAAACAAACAATTTTTTTTTTAATGTTATCACTTATTAAAGTACACAACTTTTGATTTTTCTACGTAGGGAATCGATCGACCTTTATAATAGTAGTGTTATTTGGTGTCTGGATTAATCTTGGAATTTGTATATCAAGTTTACTTTCAAAATATTGTTTTTAAAATTTTTATTTTTATAATCTTTATATATATATATATATTTTTTAGTTTACAGCTTTGACTATCCAATTAACACTTTTCTGTAGACAATTTTACTGCGAACAAAATGGTGAAAGAATTATTAATTTATTACCTAAGGTTTTCTTTCTATAGCAGTTAGAGTAAAAGTGTACAAATTCGGTAAAATTAATTGCCGCCAGAGGGTGCTGCAGGTAGCGGATTAATTCCTTCCCCAATGGGTTAAAGCTCAATGGGCTGCTGCTTGCATATACTTAAACATTTTAAAAAACATTTAATTTTTGAATTTTGGAATACGTTTATATTTTGGATTATTTATTTTATATTTATATGGGTTTATTTTGTATTGTAATGACACAACTAAACACGACTAAATGATACGACTAAAACAGTTTATTGATTTTTTTTTGTAAACACTTTTACAGCTATTACAGTCTAGTAATATTGTGTTAAATACAATGTTACTAGACTTAAAGCTTCTTTGACATTTTAATCACGTCGATAAATACTTTTCACACTGTAATGCATTATTTTATGTAACTGACACTATTCTATCCACCTGAACAAAAAAAGGATGGTTTGTGTTTGAAATAAGTATATCAAACTATGTTATGAGTTAGTTTATACAGACTGCTTAACTTGAAAACCCCAGATGACAGCACATATTTTAATAATAACTTTAATGCTCGTAATATACTTCTATATGGCATATTATTGCTAATACATTGCAGCATATTTAAATTATTTGAATATTCCTTTTCTAGACCTAATCACATAGGCTACGTATACTAACATTATATTTAATGTGTGGAACTATACCCAACCATCTTGAAGGAAATTCCTCGATTTAATTTCAAAAAGTTTCGATTGATAAATCTCGGTGTATGACTTATCAAAACAAAGTTTCCGGAACAAAGTTGTGACGTATAATAGAGACCTACAAGTGCGATGTTAATATAGACATAGACAGTGAGCGTTGCTCATTAGTCTACTCTCCAGACAGCGCCAGGTCCTCGTCGTCTACGCGTTTGATTGTTGTCTTGGCAACTGTGCAGTGTGTGAAGGTACTGCTGTACCTTTAGTTATGGGGGGTAATAGACAACCTAGTTTTGGAATAACAATAAAAGTAGTTAAATTTGGCGACTAGCAGAGTGCGCTGATTTTAATTATTTATTTATATCCTCTACCAAGCTGGACAAACGACTGACAAGTTTAGAATATTTTATGACACATCAACTATAATAGTATCAAAAAATAAAATAAGAAAAACTTATTTTTAAAGTAGCACACTTCGTGAGTGACTCAATCATATTGTTTTGTTCTTATGAGAAATATGGGCACAGATAGCCCATACCCATATAAATGAGATGTGTTGTTAAACTGTTTAAGTTATAATACTATTTTCACAATATTAATTTGATAAGTACCACAAAAATATTATATTGTTGTAAGACAATACTAAAATTATATTTTAAAACAGAAAATCTAGTCACAAATAGTAATTACATACCGATGAAAAGTAGTTTGAAAAATATTATTATCGATATTATTTATTCCAAAATTTATTTCATCATAAATATTTATATTGTTCATTAATCGTTCTTATTAATTAAATTAATTAAATTTAATTAATTAATTAAATTAATTCTTATAAATTCTGATTAATTTATGCTTATTTATAACCCACCTTTGCGTTGTGTAGCTTTACTGTAATGATAAATCTGTTTTACGAAACAAAGAGATGTATTCGACTTGTAACCGTAGTGGCAGACATCAGCTGATGTTGAGTTTAAAATAACGTGGGTGCATAACGTGTGGGTAAACGTATGCATAATAAACGTGTGTATAATCATGTGGTATGAGCTCTGGGCTGGGGTAAGTCAGAAAAAGGTCACACGAAACAGTTACTCTACATTATACACGTTGCCTCTACAACTGTATCGAGTCAGGCGACAATCTAAACATTGTCTCATTTAATCATTTAGATACAAAATAATCTATATTATAACTATAAGAAAATATTTATATTCCGAACTGCATTGGTTTATCTGTTCCAGCGAAATAGATAACTTATGACTGTTTTTAAAACGTTAATAAATATTTATCATTTACCATCAAAAATAATAACTTATCTCAGTATGACACCTTTTTATTGCAAAAGATTTGTTTTGACTTTTGACGATACGAGTAATGATGGCTACATAAAGAGTAAACGTTGTTAAAATTAAGTCATCAGGTTCTTTGCTAATTGGTTATACAATCCAATTACAGCCAGGTTAACTGTGATTGTTGTTATGTCCTACTTTAAATTGCAGGAATCTGCTCACTTAACAGCGAGGGTTCACAAATTAGGATTCTTAATTAATTGGTGATTTAAAAAGCTCTAAATCTCTAATTACTAGGTCGGGTCAAATCAATAACGATTCATATGCACTTTTTTGTGAGCTTACATCCAATACATTTTCAAATGTATGCAATTTCACAAAACCATTTATGTAAAATCTACAATAATTGCCTGAACATTGTTTTAGGCTTGTGTCTAAAACTATTCTCATCGCTGACACCGACTCCCCCGTCACTCTCAGCAACAATAAAGGGAAAAGGCATCAAGCTCCTTTGGGAAATATATCTTGTGGAACGTAAAATAAACCAAGAAATTCGTCTCAGAATCGTTCCCTGGAAAGTACTTAATACTTTGTGTTGACTAGATGTGCCGATATAAGTCAATGAGGAGATTTAAAACAGTTGTGTATTAAAGTGATTTTTATATGAAGTTTTTATGTCGAATGTTTTATATTAGTTTGTGAGAATTTTAAAATAAAATAAAAAACACGTTTTGATTAGAATGCCTTGTCGTACTGTAGCTATTCCAAACGCCGAACAATCACTCCAAGTTCCGCTCTTGAGACGACCTGTTCTGTATCTATGGATACATAAGGGCAGTGAGTTTATGAGAAAATATTCTTTATAGTAGAGATGTTTATTTAAGTAAAATATTGTATACATTAAACATTTGAATAATCTTATTTAGAAAAATAAGGGATTTCAAATAACTAATATTTTACTTGTTTTCAACACTGCTGAACTAGAAATGTCTGGCGAGAAGAGAAAAAAAGACTCGCTATACTTTCAAACACTTGAAGACATTCGGTGGAAATCGAAGATTCTTTGGCCACCTTTTGAACTCTGATTTGTCGAGTGGGCCAAGTACCTCAAATTTATGATTTACAGGCGATGGTTAGGCTAGCAGGATTCTTCCACAAAAGGGGAATCGTCGCTCCCTAATAAATTGTGCATTATCCGGATGTGGGTACAAGGGCGGGAACTGTGACGCACGTCGGAGGCGGCCAATAGTGCGGTGGGGACGGTGGGGGCGGCGCAGACGCGTGGCTGGGGGCGTGAGGAGTCGTCGCCGTCGAGACGTCAAGAACCCCGCCCCTCCAGTCAACCAGCTACCCTCGACACTGCTGGGGGTTCATCGCTGCTGCTGTGGTGTAGTTGTGGTCAGTGGACGGCGACGGCGACGGCGACGGCATCCACCACGGAGGCGCTAGAGCAGGACGAGGGAGGCGGCATCAGAGGACGGCTGCAGGAGGCGCTGGGAGGTCTAGTGTCGTCTGCTGCAACGGCCTCGCCTCAACGGGTCTTCCGAGGACTCCTCTCTAGCAAACTAGGGGCCTCCTTCACCGACACAGGTAACCCACCTATAAAAACCTCTAACTGATACCACATAAGCCATAAACGTGATGTACTAACATGAGGAGGGTTGAGGGGGAGGGGGTTAGACGTAGTTACTGGACCTTAGGTTAGGTAGGCGGGTCACCAGTAAAATGTCACACAATATCAATAGTCAATTTTAAAAACGTGGATTCAGAAGTAAATACATATTACTTGATACATAATGAACGAAAATGGACTTTAGAAAACACTCCTATTTTGCCATTGGTCTGCCTTGGGCCAAATGGTCGGGCGCCATTTTGTTTTTCACTACCAGGAGTGGACGCTTGTTTTCAATTAGTGAATGGTACTTATTTATATAGTTTAATTTTGTAAATCCTATAACATTTTGAAGTGCTTTAAAATTAAATAAAAATACGAATTTATGATACTAAACTTTAAAGGTTAACTAGGGGTGGAGGGGAGGACGTGCCCTTCAGCTGACCTTCTCTCAAATCACAGTGCCTCTGGTGAACTGAATTCAGTTATACCATTGACTATTGGATACTGAAGTTGTATTGATAGTCAAAGGTTATACCTTGTTTCGGAAACACGATTTCTGTTCATAAAACGGAAATTCCTTGATGACTTTGTGGAATAGTTCTGTTTTTAACAACTTGAAAACTATATAAGTCTTGTTAATAACGTTTCGTTAATTACTGTAGAAAACTAGCTACTTCGATAATGAAGTAAGTTTGGAAACATGCTTTGTTGTGCTGAATGGTTTCTGGAATTTAATAGTTAACGAAAAAAGGCAATGTGTTAATTATCAAAATTTAAATGTATAATATTTGTTAGCTTAAATCCTCGTGTTAAACAGTGTTAAAAGGTATTGGAATACAAACACACCCACTCTGGTGGGATATATCTACTCATTATAACAACAATTTAGACAATGTTATAATTTACCGACTTTATAATATATAAATGTTTAGCTTTTTAACCCTAACAATTACAGACAAACCGAAGTCTGCAAATCAAATCAAATTTATCCAGAGTTTAATTAATTATTAGAATAGTTGAATTATTTCGTCTTAACAGCTTCTGTTGTTGAGGAAAAATTTCCATAATACTTCACAAGTAATAGAAGATTCACTTTTTGATATTGAACAAAAAGTACATTATTGTTATATGTAATTTAATAACTTGATTAAATATCAATGGTTAATTTTTCCACGCGGTTCTATTAACATACAAGTTTAAAAACTGTAAATTTGAAGAAGTGTAGAATGTGAACTAATTCGTAAGTTCTCAATTCTCATTTAGCTTTATAGGAAAGCCGTCTGCTCTCTATTTCCTAATTAATATATTTACCTACTGTTTGACTTTATGTTCCCCCTGACACTTATGTATTGCGAGCGTATTATAATGATATAAGCTATGTTCACCACCTTTGCCGATCGCTAAACTCTAAGAGAACATCGCAAACATGTTTTGATTAAAAGTCAACTCCACACAGTGTCCATGTTTATAATACTGTAGTAGCTTAGCAACTCTCTGGATGCTCCGCTTACCCAACAGATGATTGGAGATGTGTTACTAAATACGCTAAGAATGATTTTAAAAAGTAGCTTCTGTACAAATAGTCGACGTTTTCTATCCAAACGTACCATGATTATTGACAAATCAGTCATATAGCACGTTTATAGTTACAATGTTCACAAGGCCCACCAGGTCGGTTGGGTTATGTACGATCCGAGAGCTTTTCCCAAAGATTAGTGCCAAATTATATCTATATAACATAATTATTAGACAATTCACATAGTATGCACTCCTGACAGTCTGGTATAATTCAAACATAGGCCTACGGCGTGTTAAACGACCCCCAAATGAAAAATACATAGACTCACTGTTTATGAACAAAACAAGGTAATATGTTGATACCGCTGCTTTCCTTACTTCATTGCCGATGAGCTGATGTGCGTTTTAGAATACTTCTGTGTAGCGTTAGTGGGTGTTTATTATGAAAACCCTATTGAATAAATATGGTGTTTTGAAACATTCAAAGAGTATATATTGTACAAGCATACATCAAAAGTAAATCATCCGTTATTATCTACAGGTGAGATTCCAGTACCTAATCAATCAACTACAGGTTTTATAAACTGAACATATATCTAATAGAAAAATGCAATAGTTATTTTTCCATATAGATGCATCATCATTCATGGGTTGTGTCTTACAAAATAAAATTTAATCTCATTCATTACGAATTCCTAATAAAACTAAACCGTGTAGACAAGTATTCTAAAATACATACCAGGTGATCGGCAATGAAGTAAAGGAAGCAGGTATTTTACCATAAACATGAACTTGTTTCGTCCATGACCAGTGAAATAATACACATTTAATTTGGATTAAGTAAAAAATAACTTCTCATAGCAGAGAATATAAAATGGTGTTGTGCGGGCACTTGCTTAGTCCTGCTAGTGTTTAGCCCCTGCCAAGATGGAGTGATGACAAAATCCAGCAGATAGCGTTTTGCCTAGATATTGTACGTAGCCATTGCAGATTCTCCATACAATTCCGTGGTGCCTTTGATGTATCAATCTTTTTGAGGACGGTCGTCTTACTAATAACACATTACGAGTCCTGCCTAGATTAATTGTCACTTTTATCAAGGCATCATAGTCACAACTTTCACCACTCTTAGCCTACGTGCATGTCTGAGTTTGTTGCCACCCTTGCTTGTTAAGAGAAGAAAATATTTACACATTCCAAGCTTGCATGGATTTCATTATTGAAAACAATTCCAAGGTGTCTTTGATGCATTTAGCTGAGCAGCTTATAAATCTCACTCAATACATATAACTCCAAACTTGCTTAAAGGAGTTTCCTTGATGATCCAACGTCAGTTTTGCCGCTTTGAAAGGTCGTGTATGCACCAGAATCATGTCTTCAACCTGATCAACAATATCTCGCCAGTATGTTATATTATAAGCTAAATTAATTTCGTACTAGGCGTATTTCTGTCACACAAGTACACAAACAAATTATCTAATCACTTAATGGCAGCTGTGAAAGGAGGGCTGCGATACATTCCACAGCCCTTTAAGGGCATAAAGTCGATTAATTACAATGAAATTGTTGAATGAGGCCCTAACCAACTTGATATTAGTACGAAAGTTGAGCGAAACCTGAGAACAATTGTAAAACTATTCCTTTTAGGAATCTTTGTATTATAAATTAAAAATATAGAAAGTCTTTTTTCAAGTTATATATGAACAAACCCACCAGATACTAGCCTCAGGGGCGTCCTTCGTCCTCTGAATATGTCTAAAGATAGTGAGTGAGAGTGTGACAACAACGAATCATCGCATGTTGTACATAAGCAATCCAACCAGGGATGTACCTCGGGTATATTTAAATGTCTTCGTCATCTCAGTACGTTTAATGATAGGGAATTATGGTGTTGAAATACAATCATGGAGTGTTTTAGATGAACAAACCGACCAGGGACTAGCACCAGGGACATGCCTCGAATGTATGTAAATGTCCTCGTCCTCTCAGTCTGTCTGATGATAGGGAGGGGTGGTGTTGTAACGATGAATCAAAACTCGTTGTATTAGAACAATCCCACCAGAGACTAAAACCTGGGACATGCCTCGAATGTATGTAAATGTCTTCGTCCTCTCAGTCTGTCTGATGATATAGAGGGGTGGTGTTGTAACGATGAATCAAAACTCGTTGTATTAGAATAATCCCACCAGAGACTAACACCAGGGACATGCCTCGAATGTATGTAAATGTCCTCGTCCTCTCAGTCTGTCTGATGATAGGGAGGGGTGGTGTTGTAACGATGAATCAAAACTCGTTGTATTAGAATAATCCCACCAGAGACTAACACCTGGGACATGCCTCGAATTTATGCAAATGTCCTCGTCCTCTCAGTCTGTCTGATGATAAAGGGGTGGTGTTGTAACGATTAATCAAAACTAAAACTTGTTGTAGAAGAATAATCCCACCAGAGACTAACACCAGGGAGGTGCCTCGAATGTATGTAAATGTCCTCGTCCTCTCAGTCTGTCTGATGATAGGGAGGGGTGGTGTTGTAACGATGAATCAAAACTTGTTGTTTTAGAACAACCCCACCAGAGACTAACACCTGGTACATGCCTCGAATGTATGTAAATGTCTTCGTCTTCTCAGTCTGTCTGATGTTAGGGAGGGGTGCTGTTGTAACGATGAATCAAAACTCGTTGTTTTAGAACAACCCCACTAGAGACTAACACCTGGTACATGCCTCGAATGTATGTAAATGTCCTCGTCCTCTCAGTCTGTCTGATGATAGGGAGGGGTGGTGTTAAAACGATGAATCAAAACTTGTTGTATTAGAACAAAGCCACCAGAGACTAACACCAGGGACGTGCCTCAAGTGTATGTAAATGTCTTCGTCTTCTCAGTCTGTCTGATGTTAGGGTGGGGTGGTGTTGTAACGATGGATCAGAACTTGTTGTATTAAGAACAACGCCACCAGATACTAACACCAGGGACGTGCCTCGAGTGTATGTAAATGTCCTCGTCCTCTCAGTCTGTCTGATGATAGGGAGGGATGGTGTCGTAACGATGAATCATGAGTTGTGGTAGTTAAACAAACCCACCAGGGACCAGCACCAGGGACGATCCGCTAGTGTCTTAAATGATTTCATGTAACAAATCCATTTTGTGTCTAGTACTATTGAATTGTTCAATTTTGAATTGTTTGGTTAACAAATATTTCTGCATTATATAATAAAGTGATATGTTTGGTGTTTATTACCATTTTAGTACAATGGTTCATAACTTACAGGTAATATTTTTGTAGGAGCAAACATTTAAGTTAGTGTCTCGACATGATTAAGAACTATTGTTAATATTTGCCGTATTATCTTGCTAGAGGGGTGTTTTTTTCTTTTTTAGTTTGGATCATTAAAGATTCGAAAGTTGTTTACATGTATAATGTTTATTTCTTATTACAAGTTTTCAACGTTTAGAGGTA